CACACAAACAAGCCCAAGCCACCCCAGCGCCCCAACATTGAGTAATCTCCCATCTGGGTCCATTCAGCACATCAGAGCCCCACACTTCCCCTTCTCCAGCCCCAGAACCTCAGCCTGACCCAGCTCGCTTGCATGCCAGGCAGGCCAACGCGACTCACCAGACCAACCCAGAGGAAGCGCTGAAGAGAGAGAGAGGGCTGGGGAGAGAGGAAAATGGGGGAGGCCCGGCTGATCTGACCTATTTATACCCTGCACAGGCCCTGCCCCTGGCAGGGGACGGGGGGAGAGCAGAGACAGCCCTCCTGCCGAGGGCCGATGTAAGTGCCCCGGCCCCCCTTCACCAGTCCAACCTGGAGATGGGTCCTCCAGCCTGGGGCAGGCACAGAGGGCAGTGGGTGGGCACGGTGGGCACTGCAAGGACCTCCATGGTGGGCAGCCCCATCATATCGAGCTCAACCCGAGTTGTAGGAAACTAGAGGGAGGAGCCGGCTGGCTTCCATGGGGAAGACCGGCCAGAGGGTCATCCCACCAGACAGGAGGAACACTAGGGGTAGTGGGCAGCCCAAAAACCGAGTGATGGGAGCCCTGGGCCCAGTGCTGCTAGGTGTGCTCCACTGCCTTAACCCACCCCCACCTTGAGAAGGGGGCTCTTGCAAGTTGAGGGAGTTGGAGATTGGGGAGTCAGAGATCAGGAGAGGGTCTCCCAGAGCTGATTCCAGGATGAGGCAGTGAAGGTGCGGTGCAGAGGGGGTCTGGGCATAGCAGGGGGACAAGGAAGGATGGAAGGGGATGGGAGCTAGGGATAGGTTATCAGAAGCTTGGAGCTCTGGTGGGTGTCAGGTTGGGGAGGAGACCTAACTGGAGGGGATGGTGTCAAGCAGGGGGAGCCCGGGATCAAGGTTAAGGTCCCAGGGTGGGTGTGTAAGCTCAAGGAGGAAGGTGGCCAGGGGCTCATCTCCAGGTTCCCGCCCCGCCCCCCCCCCCAACTCAGACCATCCTCTCGGGCTGGGAGCAGCTAGTCCTAACACCCTAAGTCTATTACTGCCCCCAGCCCTGGGAGGGGAGCAAACACCCTCCCATGCTCTGCCGTCCCCCTCCCCCTTTCCTCAGAACATCCTGTCACAAGGACTGAGCTCAGTGGAGCTCCGTGGTCCCCAAGGAACCTTGGGCTGCCTCCTGCCCTCCATGACAGCCCCGTGGAGCTTCTCCATCAAAAAGTCTGGAGAGAGAGAAACCCTCTCCGGTGCCCCAGGACTGGACGCCCCGCCCGGGTGCCACCCACCCCTTCTGCTGGAACGTGGAGCCCATTTCATTTCTGTGGGGTCAGAAACTACCCTCAGAGGGGCCCATCAAGAGCTCAGGGCTCCTCCCATCAGCCTCCCTCCCTCCGTCCCTCCCTCGGGTGTAAAAGACCAGAGAGAATAAAGAACACTCTCAGCAGGACTCGTCCCCAGGTCCCATCACGTCCTCCCAGAAGAACCAATCCAAGCCCAGCTGAAGTCAGTTCTTTATTAGGAGTTAGCAGCCCCTTGCCCACCATCATCTCCCGCACCTGCCCACTTTGGGCGGGGTCTTAACTTCCTCAAAAATGGCCCCCACCTCTTCCTATCGTGGCCCCCCACCTTCGGAAGGTCTGCTCACAGCTCTGGGTTGACATATCAGAGGTGAATGTGGGGGATTCCAGATGGAGAGGGTCGGGGGAGAAATCAGGGAAGAGTGTGGCGACCTGCCCAGGAACGCCTCCGGGGTCGTGGTGGAGCAGACCCCTGTCCTCCAGGCAGCCCATCCCTCTGCAGCGGAGGCTACTGGGAGCAGGGAGGCCTCGGGGGACAGTCCTTGAAGTACTCGTAGCAGTAGAGGCACAGGCTGGCCAGTGAGTGCACATACTCCTCAAAGTCCACCTCACAGTCCTTGTTGGTGTCCAGCAGGCTCATGAATTTATTATAGTCGCACTCGCGAAACTCCGTCTGTGCAAGGGAGGGGCCGGGAAGGCAGACTGAGCAGAGCCCAGCAGATTCATGCACTTCTCTCTGCTCTCCCCCACCCCCCCACCCCCGTGATGGTACCAGGCCACATCCTTCCCAGCACCAGCCTCAACCCACCTGTCCTGAGTGCACTTGTTTCCATTCCCCTCCCAAAGCCTCCTTCTGGGATCATGTGTTGCCTGCTACGCTCTCGTGCCAGGTAATCCTCCCAGTGCTCACCGCCAACCCAGCCAGCCACCCAGCAGGCAAGCTCCTGCCCTGTCAACCCCATGTCTATCACCGCCATGAAGTCTCGCCTCCGCCGCTGCTCCTGCTGGTCTACGCTCAGGCTCGTCCCCAGGTCAGCCCTCAGGAGTGCCAGCAGCACTTCCCCGCCACCGGGTGGGGGAGGAGGGCAGGCCCTCCGGGCTCACCGGGCTCAAGGTGGGCAGCTCCTTCTGCAGCAGCTCCTTCAGCTCTGCCTGGCACAGCTTGTGCTTGTCGCCGCAGCGCCCCGCATACTCCTGGAAGGTGCACACGATGGCCGCCACTGCCTGCTCCAGCGGTCTGGTCATCCTCACTGTACAGAAAGAGGGTGTGACTCACGGCAGGGGCCCTGCTCACCCAGTCCTCGTCCTCCGCGTTCCCCAGAGACTGCTCCCAGGCCCAGACCGACTTCATCTCCCCCCCCCTTTGAGCCACCAGCTACCCCACCTCTGAGCAGCCCCAAACACCCACTGCCATGGAGTCAATCCCGACCCGCCGTGCCCCTCTAGATAGGGTTTCTGAGGCCACAAATCTTTACAGAAGCAGACGGACAGCTTTTTCCCTCAGAGCAGCTGGGGGCTTTGAACAGCCGACCTCACAGTGAGCAGCCAACGCTTACCAGCAGCACCACTAGGGCTCCTCTGACCACAGCAGCCCCTGCTCATTGGTCCCCCTCCTGTCCCGGGTGTTGTTTCCCTGGATGGCAGGCTCGTTGGCCACCTTTCGCCGGAAGCCCCTAGTTCCCCTGGGCACCACTCCCATGGGATGTGGTCCATGGTCCTTGGAGACCCACCCCCGCTCAGGAACCCCCGGAATGCCTTCCGTAGGGACTTGCACAAGGCGACCCTCACCCAGTGCTGCCATTGCCATGGAGAGGCTGGGCAGTCACAGGGAGAGGAGCCCCTGCCACCTCAACACCCCTCCCCTAATGGCCCCTTCTCCCTCAAACATAAGAAAGCTCCATCTAGAAGGAAAATGGTTTAAATTCTCTCTGCCTCTTTCTCTCTGGAATACTGGGCCATTGATCCCATCTGGATACCACTTCACAGGCCCGGTCAGGGACCTGACCCAGGGGGTCAGCGCCAGACAATCTGCCCACCCAGAGGCCTGGTCCAGGGATCTTGAAGTCGAAGGTTTTGTTGTGGTGGAAAGAAAGCCCTTCTGGGAGGGAGGCCTCCAGCCTGGGGAAGCCCTTAGGCAGCGGGAAGATAGAGTTGTTTCCAAGTGTGCCTGATGACTCACTCCCGGCTCTTCCCAGGGGACAGGAGTCCTGTGATGATGATGATGGGAGGCTGTCTCCTTCATGATTCCCCTTCTGGGCCCCCGGGAGCCAAAAGCCACCAGAGCTGATGGGTGGTGGGTGCCATCCAGTCAATGCCAAGCCATAGCCCCCCTACAGGACACGGTAGAGCTGCCCTGGTGAGTGAAGATTCTAACTCTACAGGAGTTAGAAAGCCCCGTCTTTCTCCCATGGAGCCGTTGGTGGTTTTGAACGGTCAACCTTGTGGTTAATAGCCCAACACATAACCACCTGGGCTCTGCAGAAACAAGGGTGGTGCTGGCGCCTCCCCTGACCCTAACTCGAAGACTGCGGCAGGGTGTCCAGGAGCCCAGGAGAGGAGGTGGCCATGATCCTAGCATGGAAGCCTGCCCAGTGCCACCAGCATGACTATTCCAGAAGCCAGGAACCTGGAGGAGACAGGCTGGGAAGCCTCTCCTCTGCGGCAGCCCTGGCCTGTCTCAGCCTGTCCCCAGGAATGAAGCAAGGAAGCAGAGAGGAGGGACGGGAGCTGAGGGGAACACCCATATTTCTAGCCCACTGCCTCCACCTCAGATCACAGCTCAGCACCGCTCTAGCCCACACTTCCTCCTAGACCCTCACTGCCCACAGGAGCCCTCAACCAAGCCTAGCATGCCTGACATCTCTCGCTCTGTCGGTCCCTGCTGGGGCCAGCCTGCTGCCCCCACCCCAGACCCTGAGCCAGGAGACAGACGGGCAATTGGAGGCACACTGAGTATTCCCAACAGCCTAGCCAGGGCAGAACCCCAGCAGCTGGCACTCACCACTAGGTTGTCCTTGCAGCTGTAGGAGCTGGGAGACCGGGGCCTCTCTATTTGTAGCCTCCCGAGGGAGGAAGGGAGCAATTATGGGGGCCCAACTAGGTCAGCACTGGGGGTACGTGCCTCAGGAGCTCCCTACCTCCTTCCTCAGGAGCCTCTGTTACAACCCCACCCGCCCACCTATCCACGCACACATCAAAGGCCCAGGCTGGGGCCTCAGACCCCACCCCAGTTGGCCCTCTCCCAGAACTGAGCACAGTCTCCTGACCATTTGCTTCCAGCGTCATGTGGAGGACAGAGGCTGCCCAGTCAGCTATCCCTGTTGCTCTGAGGATGTACCTTCATGATACAAAGGGGGTGGGGGGTACACCTCACTGAGCTGGCCCTCCAGAGTCAACCCCCTTGTCAAAGGGGACCTTTAGGAGCATCTAGGTGAACCCTCTTACATCCAGAAGCTAAAATCTCTTCTCTCTCTCT